AATATTATTTAATTTTATATCTAGTTTTTTTTTTTAGTATTTTGTGTGTGTGTGTGTGTGGGGGGGGGGGAAGGGGGGGGGGGGATCAAAATTATCCTCTTAGCGTTTATCATTTATGATATTCCGTTTCTGCGCTTTCTCTGCTCTGGACTCATCCGATTGTTGCTTTTATTACTGTAATGAGCTTTCTGTCCTCCGTCATTTAGCTAATAATCGCTTACCTTATGTAAGGTCTTTTCGTGCCCTACTTTTTAGACTTCCTGATGTCACTAATTTAAAAAAAAAAAAAACTAACTTTCTCGCAAATTTTAAAAGGATTTATTTCATTTTCAGTTTTTTTTTTTGTCTTGCAGAAAAATGTGTGCTAGTCTCAAAATCCACTCTCTCATTTGTGGTTACGTTTTTTGTCAAGCTAACAATTTTCATATTTCGTTTTTGCTCATTTACTCGTGCTATTTTTACAGCCTTATCGCAGTTCAGCCTATTGTTTTTTTGCGTTGACACCATGTAACAGCTATGCAAACACCACGGCCCACCCCCACAACCCACCCCCCCCCCCATAATTCTGACCGCTCCCCCCCCCCGGCCCTCTTCCCCCGCCGCTCATTTGCTTCTGCGCGTGCTCGCGTTCCCTTTCAAAAACATCGCTCCATACTTGTGTGGGGGGACAAAATCAATGTCCGCGTTGGCAACCAGGCAATGTTATATTTTTATTGCATAACCCACTGTATGAATGCTAACCAGGGTAATTCACCGGAAAACTCGCATAGGACAAATATTTGCCTATAGTTCTTTATGATAGAGAAATCTGTATTTTTTAATTCCTACGCGATACTTTATTATTCCACAATAATTTTTGGTGTGGCTTATTGAACAATTGAACATTAAATTTGCACTGTTTTTTTTTTTCTTTCCTAATTATCCTAACCGCTTTAAGGAAAGGTGTGCCGAGAAATTTTTTTTGCCCTCACAAGGGTGCCAGCGCGAAAAAACGTTTGAAAAACGCTGCTCTAAGATCTGCCACACCAGTCTTAAAGTGGTACATGCAGATAGTTAAAACAGTTAAATTGTTCCTCAGGTCACCAACTTAATTCATTTTTTGACTCCGTTGGCCAAACGACAGATTTGATGAGCTGAAACAGTTGTTCCCAATGAAATCAATGCAAATCTAATTAATCGGTTCGCCCGCCAAATTATCCAAAAGCCATGAGTTGTTAACCCTTAGGCTCGGTATTATGGTTATCGCAACCCTTCGGCATTGATTCCATTATAAATACCGTAAATCTGGGAGAAATGTGGCTTTTCTGCCTACGACCGGACGTGAACCCGGACCACAAGGTGTTCGTTACCCGGTCACCGCGCAATATGGTTTAACCAACTACGCTAGCGAGCCGGGCCTCCCGCCGTATAACTTTTCCTTTGTTGGAGCAGGTAGGATGGAGATGAGGAGGAGAAGACGTAAAGTCCTATTCCATAATAAAGTCGGACAACTGTGTTGTTATTTCTTCTCTTGTTTCTATCCTGGAAAGTGTGTCGATTGCTGGTTGGCTGGCTAACAATTAGTTGTTTTTTCTCTAATTTTTCTACTTCTTCTAACACTTAAGACCTTTGCTTCTTTAACATATTCACTATTTTGGATAAATCAGCAGTCTTTTTATTCTTAAAATAGTACATACAGTAAATTTAACTTTATCGTACTGCTTGGCAAGATCAGAAACACGAACATATTCTTGTGTGTTTGCGTGTGCGTGTGTTTCGTTTCTTCTGTAATACCGCGGAGGTAGGCGGCCAGTTCGCTACCTCAGCAACAAAACAACACCGACAGAACCAAATCTCATCAGTACCTGTTGTTTCACTTTCGTCTCTTCCATACGTGTCCGATTAAGCGCAGCAGGAGATACTGGGGCTTAGTGCCATGACCCAGGTTGGCCCACCTTCCGAGATGGTTTAGGATGGTAACGGGCCGAAATAATGGTCGATAGAGGATCTTCTACTGATGACCGGTAGACTCCGTCGATAGAGGATCTTCTACTGATGACCAATAGACTCCTGTCGTGTATGCTCTCCTGGAGTTTTCTTATTATTCCTTGCACCACTGCTACTAACACTTTTCAATTTCCTAGCAGACACAATGAGGGCTAATTTAATGTTTGAAAGTTTTTGAGAATAACACAACGACTGATAAACAATGTTTACAGCGCGAAAATCTGACTACAAGTGATGCTACTCGTCGGCCGAAAACATGGAGCCATAGCCGTGTTTGTTACGTTCGTGCACCGAGGTTTTGTTCACGGGTCCAGTCACTATTCGTTGGGAAGTTGTGTTTGTGGGCCGATTTGTTCGTGAATAGAGATGTCCATAGCCTGATGTAATACTGTTTATATATATATAAATATATGTTTTTGTTAGGTCCCTTTTCCACACCTATAGGCGTATAGATCTAGACCTATATTTTTATAGACCAATCGGGACAAGATAGGTGATGTGGTCAGCTTCAGACCGGCTGCCTTTACTTCCCGTGACTGCACCCGGTACCCATTCAAGGCTGGGTCGACCTGGAAGTCAAGGTCATTTTTGAAAAAAGTCTGGCTCCGCCAGGGAGATATATCTGTATGTATTTATACAAATAAATATTAGCTGTCACATATAAACTTATTTGCGTTTCCCTTACATGATGTTGTTAATCAACCCCAGCATTATTTGGCTGTTGTGTGGTTTCTCTAGGCAAATTTACGTCAAGTAGTTTGTCATTGCTTCTGGACGGTCGATTTCTCTATACCACTGTCAAAGCCAACGCAAGGCCCAGCCACCGATGCCGGCTTGTCACATATTACAACTTTAATATGTGTAGCACATATAGAGATAATAATAATTTCGCGCACTTTAATTCTACAAATGTAAACATACAAAACGTGTCATTGATAAATATGTAGTTGTGGTGAACACAAGTAAATCAACTGTTTGATTTTATTTTAGAAACAGTTATTTGTGTTGCACTTGTTACAAATGACTGTTACAGTATTTGACATCAGTACATTTGATAGAGATTTATATTCTTCTATCCTACATTTTTGTCAGACACTCACACACAAATCCAAAGCACCATATACATAGAAGACCACATCACCAGGGATCATATCAATATAAACAGGAAACATAGATAAATATGTTACTAAATAAAATAATTTAATTTCTTTTAAAATATAATCTCTGAAAATATATATTAATTCTGGATGCAGAACACAAGTGGTAAATGTGCAGTAACTTTCAGTGTGTTGATTGTCCGTATATACTTTACCTTTTGAATTGTCTTTAGGTAAAAGCTTTATGTTGTCAGTGACTGTTGCATTTACTGCAGTCTCCAGCATAATAAATGCAGAGCAAGACAACATATTTTAAAATGTTGACAGTGATTATTGCCTTGACTGCAATATTCTGAATTATAAAGACAGAGAGAGATTATAACACGTTTACGCTAAGTTGACAGGAGAGGTGCCTTGAGCTCCCGAGTAACTTTTAAGGGGTTGAGAGCTCCCACCAACGCCCCCCCCCAACCTTAACCCCCCACCCACCACCTCCCATAAATCCCCCAAAATTTGCAATTTTAAAGACGTACCCTTTTACAGTTTTTTTTTTTTTTAATATTTTATATCATTTCTGTTTCATAGTTTAATGTTTATTTACCATTCAGCACAAAATAATATTAGTAATAGAAAAAAATAATGTTAATATTGGCCACTTAAATAGGACTTGAACCCTTTAGAATCCGTCTCCTATAACATTATGAACACCCCCCCCCCCCCCCCCCCTTTTTCCCTTTTTTTCAACGAAGTGTTCTTTGTCCCGGCGCTCCTGATAGGCAGTAACTATTACATAGGCTACATTCATCATTTAATTGCAGAAAGAGAAAGACAACGGATCACAAAATGTTAAGGGCTAAAATGTGGCAGGGCTTATTACATTGACTACACTATCCAAATTTTTTTTAAATACAGAAAGATAGCAGATCACAACATGTTAAGGCAATGGTGACAGAGCTCAAAACATCGAATACACCAAGACCGTCCCCATCTGACAGGGGAAAACGGTCTTGACTACACTAACCAGAATAATAAAGACAGACAGCAGATCATAAAGTGTCAAGGTTATGTTGACAATAATTACTGCATTGACTGCAATATCCAGAATAATAAAGAAAGAGAAAGACGACGTATCACAAAATATTGAGGCTATGTAAACAAAAAAATTGTACAGAAAATACAGAAAATACAAGAGAGGGATAGCTAGGATTAAAATGGTAATTAAACACATTTTCAGATGACTGAATGGGCTGTCAGATAAATTATAATAAATGCTTTCGAAGATACGACTGAAAGACTGGCAATTTACACGTTGCATAATTTTTGTTGTTGTTGTTGAAACCCAGTCCTGAGGTATCAGACATTTAAAATCACAAATAGTTTATTAACTAGAGCACACACAGTTCCTGACAAGTTTACAGTTGCTTTAATGTATGAAATATGACACAATTTTTACCAGTATTTAAAGTGCCTTCTGTTCTCCACTTGAAATGGATATCTGTATGTGCAGCGCTGTCTTTGCGTGAGTTTGACACTATGTATTTAAGTGCATTCACCGGTTCGTGAAGTTTAGTTTCCACTGTTATTTCTCTAGACCAAATGGGTGGCATTCGAAAAGTATTCAAGTACGTATTTGATACCCAATTTTTAAATATATTCTGGTCGACAACAGTTTACTAATGAAATGCAAGTCACTTTCCTGAAAAAGCAATAAGTGATATAGAACTCAGATTTACTATAAACAGTTGGTGTGTAGAATCAGTTTTGTAGCAGACATATTCAAGGTTACATTATACGCATTTTAAATCATGTTGTACTGCACTTCATTAATGGTAAGGATTACATCTTGTTGTCACAGCCAATACTGATTCTCTACGATGACACAGTAGGTCATCTGTTGAAATTGTTAAACCTAGCTACAACATCTTCCACCGACTCTCTTTTGTTTGGTCTTCTGGTTTCTCTCAATGACCTGCTCATGAAGGGATCAAAGTCGGGGTCCTGACCAGTTTCTGCAGAGTGATTCTTCAGCATTCTTTTATAGCGCCGCTCAAATTGCCTCCTTAGTGTGTTATTCTTATCCACCATGGTTGACTTGCTTCTACCAAGTTTGGATGATTTACTTTTCTTTCTACCACTTTCAATTCCTTCCTTGTGAGGTACTTCTCCAGTAGCCGACCCATCGACTCCTGTAGATTTGGGCGTGGACTCGTCAAAACCAGGATTGTCCATCATCAGCGAGTAAGGAGGTCCACCCGCCAGCTGGACTGGAGCGTCACCTTCAATACCAAGAGATCGAGATGATGCATAGTTTCCAGAGGAGGCAAACAGATTGCTAGAAGGCTGTGCACTATTTGGCCGACTCTCAGAAGAACTCATGTATTCATAATCTTGGTCTGTGAGATCTTCATCAAATCCAGTCAGTTTCTGCATCTTCATAGCATATTCCACAATGTCTCGGATAGCCTGCTTCTGGTTAAATTTCTTCTTGTTTACTCTCAGTTCTGTGGATGCAAGAATGTGAAGCAGAGTCCCATATCGATGTCTCAACATAGCGACGAACTGCAAAAGCAAAATGACAGCAAAAACACTCAGGAAGATCAGACCCAGTGGCTCTATGCTGAGAGTTCCTCCACCGTACTTTGGAATAACGATGCTGACTTTGTCCTTGACACGTTGCAGCATGAAGATTATCACCATCCAGAATGCATTCATCATGAAGAAGGCAAAGGCTATGTTATTTCTCATAGACTTTAACTCTACCGAAACCTTGGCTTCCGTAGCTTTGTCAGGGTTTATTGGATGAAGGTACTTAGCAATACACCGTTGCCAGAATTCTATCTCTCGCATTGGTAGATACTGTATTTCGCCATTTTTCATTGCAGCATCTTCTAACCATCTGGGATTGATAAGCTCATCTCTCTCTTCATCAAGATACATTTCGTCATCAGAAAGTGTTGCAGAGCTGGAAGAACTTGCATCTCCATTTTCCGCCTCCTCTTCAATGTCATTGATAGTTGATTTGTTGGACTTTTTCGAATGCCTTGATCTGGATGATGATCTTTTTCTACTGTGCTGAAATGCTGATGTTCCAGTTGTGGTTACATTTCTCATACCTGCTTCCACTTTGTCCAACTTTTCAATAACCTGTCGAAGAATCTCAGTGTTCAAATCCTGTGTACCAGATCCACACAATCGTCGCAGACCTTTGAAAAATCTTCCACAGCAAGCACTTTCCTCTTCTTGACGATGGATCCATCCATAAATTCCCCCAACACTCTTTGGTGCAGCATGTTGCCTCATCTGTGCTTTCCTTTCCAGTGAAGATGTTTCACGAGTACCCCATGACACCACATGCATGTTGCACATAGAATAGACCATAAGCAAGACATAACCAGAGGGAAGAGCCAAAAAGTACAAGGCACCGGGTAGCAAACAGAAAAACTCTTGTGGGTGGAATGAAGCTGACAGTAAAAATATAGCAATCATCATAATCAGGAAAATAGCATTAGGGCTGACAATTGTATCTTCAGATATTTGTACTGCAGTTCCGACTATCACGGCCATCATCAGAAGGGAATACAAGGCACTGAGAATGGCAGCCAGAATCAGCTGCGTTTCCGACTTAGTGATGAAACACAGGACAAGATAGATGGCAATAGGTCCAACGATGATGAGGTATGCCTGATAAAGGTCAATGCTTAGCACAGGGTTGATAGCTCCGGCCATCATGAGCAGGATTGTTGCCGGACCCAGCACAGTGGATAACATCAGCAGGCCCTGGAATGGGAGTAAATGTACAATATTAGTTTGCCGGCGAGGCAACAAGTTTGTTACAACAAATGGTTTCTTGCATAGTTAATACCAGTGTTGTTTTCCTAACAGTACGCAATACTAACACCGGTTTTATGTATAATATGTTTTTTCAGCGCTGCCGTAATAGACCCTCTGTGGTGTGTACTGGCACCTTTTATATTCTTTGTGGTGAGTACCGGCACGTTTTATTTCTAGGCAGAAACACCTGGTCATTATTATAATTTACTTCAAAATGATATACCAGTAATTATAAGAAAAAGAAAAAAAAAAATGGTGGCTTTTACAGCTAATAGATAACTAAAAACCAGGTCAATAAATAAAGCACCTGACTGATTAATCTGTTGATAGACTCATTAAATGCATCATTAAGTAATCAGAAGTAAGGAATACGTAGTCTGTAATGTCTTCATTAAGTAATAAGAAGTTATGAACACTTAGTCTGTGACTGCTTCATTGGGTGATCTGAAGTAAAGAATACGTATTCTGTAACTACTTCATTAAGTAATCAGAAGTAATGAACACGTAGACTGTAACTGCTTCATTAAGTAATCAGAAGTAATGAATACGTAGTCTGTATTGTACCTGGTAGGCCATGTACAGGTAAGAGATATTGTCATTGGCTGTGACAGTGGTGCGGAATGACTGCAGAAGATCCATGATGTTAGCCAGTGTAGAGGGAATCCATCGTCGTCTCTGATTGAAGAACTCCTTGAAGCTTTCTGGACAGTGAGTCATGGCATCGGATGCAGCACAGTATTCCATTTTGTAACCCTGCTGAAGCAGTAGAGTGGACAGCCATCTATCTTCCCCTGCAAGTAAATGATCATATGTTTGTACATCATGGGCAAGTAATTATTGCTGAAAACTCTGTAACGACATTAAACATTCACATTAGATTACTTTCTTCTAATTACTACCGATGTAATGTATGGGCTCTGAATCGCACATAGTGGAGCACAAAGACCAGGTCCCATGTTGATCAAGACTCATCGACACCTCTTGGTTGTCTCCCTTGAAACAGGTTCCTTAATGAGGAGGGACATTAGGTGACCAACGTTGATATGATTGACTTTTCTTTAAAGATGGTGCGTATTTGCGCGAGAGGCATGGAGCTAACAATACGCACACAAGAAAACCAGATCTGTTAAAAGAATTTGCACGCAGAACTCAAATGCCTGAAACAAGTGAACGAACAACCATAACTTATAGCCGTAGAACACGAAGAAGAGAAATTAATGTGGGGCACTCACTAATTATAGGATTTTACGATCTTATAATTACTTTTAAGAACTTTTCCATGAAGCAGTTAGTTACTCAGGCTAATTGAAAAAAGGAGAGGACGATCATTCGCTGGCAATAGTGTCTTTGTGAAGCCACCAAGTGTGACCTAATTGTATATTCGTATGACTCTGAACAGGTTTCTGGCATTTGCTCTGTTGGATTTCCATTCAATTGAGGACGCGTCTCGAAGGTGTGGTCAGACCTTTCTGCAGCAGATGTGTTGGGAAAAGAGTCAGTTAATCCAGTGCTAAGCCATGTAACAAATCGATATGCATTAATATTGTACATGGCAGAATATTTTATGGAAATCAACTGACACCTGAGCAATGCCTCATACTATACCTTGATCGTACTGAAGATAATGCCTAGCTTCTGAAGATCTTGTTGCATAGGTCCTCATGACATTGTCGTCCATGAGAGCAGACCCCCTGAATAAACTGAAGCATCCTGGACTACACAGCACACAGCCTAACATGTGTTCAGCAGCCTTTTGTAGCCAATGACCGATGGCATACTCAAAAATCTGGTACCACACCATTGCTCCTGTAAATGAGTATTAAAACAGCTATATTCTACAATATACTATTTCCTATAAAACATACCTATAATCACACTATCTAGATATATCAATTATTTTTTAAAAATAATACATGCAGTGAGAGAGTTAGTCATTGTATGAAGAGATTACTAAACAACAGTAAATGAGAAGACGGTGCCACACAGAGCAAAATTGTAAAATAGACAGAACAAAAATTTACTTATATTATTATTATAAAACTTATTTTATTCCTTGTGGGTTTCCTGTGTCCAGTTGTGGGGGAAACAAGAGTAGACCGACTGCCTGCCCAAAAGCATGTCGTAGGAGTCGACTAATTGGGAGGTTTTTTCTAAGTCGGAGTACATCCGCCTGAGAGGCAAGAAACCGACAGTCTGCAAGCAAATTAATCAGACCTATGAAACGAATGTACACGCGACATTTAGGTTCTGGAATAGACGAACAACCAAAACCTCCCGCAGCTTACAGCTGGTGAATGCAAAGCAGAAGAAAAAGAATCTGATTTAAAGCATTTCATACGATGACATGGACATCAGGGGAGGTGGTTTTGGGAGGGGGGCATGTTAAATGTTACAGTGACTAGATAACTACAGACATGAATGATGACTAGCACATTGGTAGGCATACCTCCACCAACGGGGTGAATGCGACCACAAGCTGCACCAACTTTCTTGTTCTTTTTCATCCTGTCAACCAACAGCTGTACTGCATGAGGCTTGAAGTCGACATCTCCGTCTAGAGCCAGGATGTATGTGTTTTCAGCCTACAATCATGAGGTTGACATAAATTACAATATAGTATACGTTGCTACTTCTTTTTAGGAAAGCATAGTATAACTACTAATCATTCTCCTGTTCTGTCTTTCGTATTGAAATCTGTGGCAATTCCTCAATTCTGCTCTTTTATAGCCAGTCCTTCATTATTCTGAGAAATATAAGTTGAACAAATAAATTCTCTGCCGGTTTGCTGGACCTGAATTTAGATATCTCGGAAGTATATTCTTGCAGGATGGGAAAATAGTACGGGAAATATAAGCAAGATGCCAAAAGCCAGTGCACAAATACACTAATTGACACAGTAATTAAAAACATTCAAACATAAGTATGAGCGCCAACAAACAATTATACAGTATATTATTGTCAACACTGTTATCTCAGTGCCAGATTTGGACAATAATCAAGGCTAACCTACGTAAAAATAAAACTTGCGAAATGAGATGACCGAAAAAAAGTACCAACAAAACATCCGTGACAACGTTAGAGATGACATTATAAGATAGACTGTAGGAGCAACATCATGCAGCAAATTCATTGAGAAACAGAAGATCAGATGGTTTAGTCATTTAGTAAGTATGCAACCAGAACTACTACCAACTCCGGCGCTACTCAAGAAAAGATCTGAAAAGAATAGTAGGAGGGCTCCCTATGAGGATATGTATTGATGACATTCAAGAGCTTCTACATCGACACAGAATGGCAAATGCCAGTGCTGCTCATAAAGCAATGGATGGCAAACTGTTCCTCCCCACAACGCTTAACAGCAGAAGTAGAAATAGACGATAATAATGATGATGATGATAATGATGACGGTGATGCTTTCAATATCTTGGTAGAAATTAAATCTGCATCTCTGCCTTTCTCATCAATATGTGCCGTAGTTTCTTTTGAACAATCTTACTTCCTCAATACATTCTTTCCATTTCAGTGGCTGTTTTGCGATTCTTTTTCCACTTTCTCACAAAATATGCTCAAAACATTGCCATCTTTCTTTTGTAACTGTTGATACTGTGACACAGTCGTCTCTTTTACTGCCTATGCTTCATCAAATAACCCAGGTTCTGTATGGTTTTGTGTCAAGGGTGGCGGGTGATTGTTGATAGACAAGGAGAAAGATGGTCGTGTAGATAGTGGAGTTGGTGATGCTTGCAAAATAAAGTGTCTGAATACAACTGTTCAGGATCACACTGAATTTATTATTACGCTCCAACAAATGTCACAAAATACATCAAAAGTTACTCTGAAGAATGATGAATCATCTAAGTACTCATAGAATCGCGTTGTGTTCCTTATCTCCCATTACTTTGTAAACTATGCCATTGTCTTTGACTGCCACCGGGCTACTAGTGCAGGTTGGGCTAAAAGGTTCGTTATTTAATGCCGACTAACTATTTATCTATGCTCTGGCCTCTTCTTCGTCTGCCTCCGAGTCATTATCTGACAGTAACTCTAATCGAATAAAATATATATATATATATATATATATATATATATATATATATATATATATATATATATATATATATATATATATATATATATATATATATCTTTAACTATCTTTTTTATCTACAAAACTGACCGGTACTTCGCTCTACTATCTGTCTCTGTCTCTATCTCTAGCCTGTCCTCTGGGCTGTCCTCTGCTGCCCTCCGTTGTCCTCTTTCTTCTGCCTCAGGCTATCTCCGTTTATGTCTTGTGTCTTCTCTATCTGTGTCTATCCTCTGTCTGTCCCCGACTATCCTCCGGCCCGTCTGTTTATCCTCTGGCCTGCCTCCGTCTGTGTCTGTGTCCTGTGTGTGTCTGTGTGCCTTCTGTCTCCAGCCGTCCATCTCACCTCAACTATCCTCTGGCCTGTCCGACTCGTGTGTGTATGTCTGTCCTGGCTGTCTGTGTGTCCTCTCTGTGTGTCAAAGGTTCCGGGCAATCGTTTATAAAGGGGTTACTAGGCTGCTCCCAGGGGGCTCCTATCCCTCGTTGTTTTGCAGTCTTCTGCAGCCACCTGAGCTGGCCGGGACATCGGTATTTTACCTAATTAAGTAACTAATTGTTTTGTGCAGGACGGGGAGAGTCACATGTCTAGTCAGACGATGTAAAGTACGTGGGAAAAGTTCTAACAATAAGGGTGAAGGCCACAAGGGTCTTGTCGTGCAAACAGCACTGACTTTGCTACAATACATTGTCAAGAATACATTATTAAATATTTCAGTCATCTAATTGATTACGAAGGTTCCTGATAATCCTATTCTAGGGTTGCTTGTCTTGTATTGTATCTCTAACTTAGTGTATGTCCGAACTCTGCATTGCAGTTTTATAAATATTTTTCATGGTTGTCCCCTTCTGCTTGTCCTAGTTTTGTCCATTTCAGTACCGATGTTTTGTCAGGTCCTCAAGTGTGACAAATCGACGAGTGTAGCTTACTTTGGAACTTTAAAAAAATGTATGTTGTTATGTGTTCCAGCACCCGTTCATTTGACAGTTGTTACTTGCGGCTGATTCTTGTCATTTTTAGATGATAACACAACATCTTTTATCGGGCGTATTAAGTAGTTTATAGAAAGGTTAGTATTGTATTATTCTATCATCGCAAAGCGGGTGCATATTAATTTATTTTGTCCAAAGACCATCATAAAAGTAGCAGTTTGGTTAATAACAGCATAATAATCTTTATATTATATATCTTTTTTTCTATGCAGTGTAGAGGTAGTACATAGGAAATACATAACATACGCAATTCTTAAATAACAAAACGTACTATACTAGGTGTGACGAGGAAAGATCAACTTAGGAACGATGATATCAGGAGCAGAATCGGTACATAAACTTTATAGGTAGGCAAATCAAATGGTTTGGCATGTAACAAGACTGGATGCAGACAGGGCACCACATAGAGCAATGTTATACAGATACAACGGTAACAGAACCAGAGGTCGACCACGCAGAATATGGACTGCAGAAATATCAGAGACACTGAAAAGTACAATATACTAAGTGAACAGAAGAGCCCGTTCTAGAGATCTCTTCTTTCCCTAACGCCGCGAGGTATTCTAGGAGTAGATAGAAGAAGAAGAAGAAGAAGAAGAAGAAGAAGAAGAAGAAGAAGAAGAAGAAGAAGAAGAAGAAGAAGAAGATAACAAAATATACTTTTTTTTTTATTATAAATTTTGCACTGAAAACACTATAACACTCTTACATCAGCTAAGCTGATTCTTTCGTTAATCGAATTCGAACGAAATTATGTCGTTTTCTTGCACAAAATATGCAACACACTATCAAAAAGCTGCTACACAGTTAATGTTGAGGAAGGAAGCCTGAGCGTCTACAGACGTAGTCGGAGTGCCATAAGGATAACTTTAACACCAACTCATTATCTGGCTTAGCAGTGGAGCGAAGATGAAAGATGTTACTATATCTACTCCAGAAACACAATAATGTACATGAAAATGTAAGACAAAAGTAATGCAAGTTGAAATGAAGCACTCATAACGATCAGAGCGGCATCTCACCTGTACTAGTACTCGCTCTGGAATGTACTTGAACAGGTTTCCTTTGACAAAGTGGTTGGATGTGCTTTTCCACTTCTCTTCTCGTTCCAAAGTGGATGAATTGAAAGCTTCGTCTTGTTGACCCAGCAGACGGTAGCCAAGGAGGTAATACATGTACATGACCTTTTAAAGACACAAGAAATGCAATTCAGAGTTTTGTCATTACTTATACATTTGTCATTGCCAGGAAAACAATTATTCGTGTGTTTGCTCAGCATCTCTTCCTCTATTTCTCTTATGCCTCGTATTAAAGCGGCCTTCAGTCAGTTTCCACCGATATGTCCATTTTATTTTTTTCCGCAATGTGAAAACCACAACAATAAGCTACTTCTGTCAAGATTTGTGCAGACAGAAGGACATGTTTGTGAACTTGCCTTTGCCCTGGTAAAACAGTTACTGAAAGTAGCTGATATTCTACTTCAGTTAGAAAGATTAGTTTATTTACTTCTTTATTAGTCAATAAATATGAATGTCTACCGACAGACACTTTCACGCAACATAGAAGATAAACAAAGGACGATAAACAAAAGATTATAAACTAAAGACACACTGCTTTAAAATAAGCCTGACTTTCAAATTGAAAAAAATGGAGCATGGAATACGCAAACGAATCTGTGCCGCATAACTTTGTAAAAATAGTTTGTGTTGGACCCGGCATGAGAATCTTTAGCAACTTATACTGCAAATATTATTATAAAAGTAATATTAAGCATACATTTTTGAACTAAAATATATATTTAAAGTCTAAACATGTGCGTATTCGTCTTTTCTCTTGATCGTATAATTATAATGAAAATATATAATACAATTGAATTCGCTGTGTTTTAATGCTCGCCTTCAGATCCATAGGTAATAGGTTCAGGTCCTTTTCCAACCTTTTTCAAAAATTACATTGGCCCAAGCTGATCTAGCCCTGAATGGGTACCAGGTAAAGTCCTGGGAAGTAAGGGCGACGTGTATGATGTTGAGCACATCGTCCACCTAGTGCCGATTAGACTATAAAACAAAGGTCTAGCTCTATACGCTTAATGTCGGCTCTGTGGCTAAGTCGATGCAAACGCTTCGTAATGCCGGGGTGCCAGGTTCGATCCCAGCTGCAGGCCATGCGCCTTGCGTTGGTTTCGATTGAGGTATCAGGGGGCCGACCGTCCAGCGAGCAATGGCAAACTACTAGACGTAAATTTGCCTAGAGAAACCACACAACAGCCCGGGGCTGCTGGGGTTGGTTCTGCAACGTCCTGTAAAGGATACGCAACTAACCTAACCTATATGCATAATACGCATAAAAGACGTGGAAAAGGGTCCTTTATACTTTACTAATTTTCGTTGTGAGAAATAGGAGCCAAGGTACGTAGCAGACTCGCCTGCTCGATTTAGGGTCTAGAGTTCAAATCTGCATCGACGTGTATTTCATTCATGAATGACTTTGCTCCAAGTTCGACACATCCTAAAATGGGCAGCAGATGATGTACTGGGAAGTAAAGGAGACCGGCGTGATGCTGACCACATCGCTATTCAAGTGGCGGTTAGCATATGTAAAATATAATTCTAACAAGGATGTTTTTTTTTTTTCTTGCGGTTTGCAACGGTACACAATACCGGCACCTTTGTTAAAGAATCATTTATTCATCACTGCGGGAGTTGCCGTGGCGTAACGGCTAGATACCAGCATGCGGATCGGAAGATCGTCGGTTCTCTCCCTGACAGAGCAGGGCTTTTTTCTCAAAAATGACCTTGACTTTCAGGTCGACCCAGCCTTGAGTGGGTACTGGGTTCAGACCCGGGAAATAAAGGCTGACCACATTACCCATCTTGTGCCAATTGGTCTATAAAAATATAGGTCTAGCCCTATATGCCTCAAGGCGTGGAAAAGGGACCTTTGCTTTTTATTCAGCACTACTGTAGCAGACACTTTATAGTGAGTCCTGGACCTCACTTTTGACACTTTTATGGTGATTAGCAGGCAGCATCATTGTCTGGACACTGTGGTGAGTACCGCAGCTGTTCTTTCTATAAAGAAACAAAAATGCCTGGGTCTAGCACAACGTACCTGACGGTCCAAAAACACGGAAAAGGTCCTTTATTTCTGTTAGTTATGTTGGGAGAACGGTGTTTATCATTATTATCTTGCCGACTGGCGTGGGCAATCATGCCTCTCCACAATCTGCGATGGTCAACAGCATATACGCAGACTATCAAGTATCTTCACACGTCGTCCTTCCTCCATCTCTTTTTCCACAGATCGTTCCAGTTGTCACATTTTCCCATTTCCTCCTTCTTCTCATAATATGTCCAAAAATTATCACTGTCTATTTATGATGTTTGTGATAAGTTGTCTTTGAGCTTTCGCCTCTTTCTAAACATATGGATTGCTCTTTTGGGCTGTCCAGGAAATTCGAAGGATTCTTCTGCAAAACCATATCTCCATGGATTTGAAAAATAAAGTGTTTATATTAACCTTAATCCGAGAGATGCAAATTCTCTTCAAGGCCTAGATCTTCTTTTTAAAGTCGATGCCGTGTGGCGTTGGAGCCATGTCTATCCAAAATCTTCTGTCTTGTGTACTTTTAATCAACTCTGACACAGATGATCCTCCATGCTATGATGTCAAACTGTCCAGCATCTGTTATCTCAGTCTCTCTCTACCTCTTCTCCCTTCCAACTTCCCTACTGTCTCAATATACTCCAGTCTTCTCTTTTCATCACATGACCAAAGAATGTAGATTATCTCTTTTTAAAATTGGCAATCAGTTGGTTCTCTTTGTAAGTCAGTTTCTTTCAAGACATCTTCATCACTCTTTTTATCAGTCCAGTGTATTCTCATCATTCGTCTATACAACCCCATTTCAGCAGCTATCTAATAAGTTTTCACTAGTTTACTGTTTCAAGATATCTAACTGGTAATGTTTTGGGCATTATTAAAACTAAACAGAAAATCAAATTCACAACCCTTCTCCACCCCTTCCGCCCCCACCACACCCACCACCAACCCACCCACCCACATAGGTACATTACGAATTGCTCATTGTACCTGGGACCAGCGCTTCTTGTGTCTGATCTTGTTCTTGTCTTTGATGTGGGCGATTAGAAGGTTTCCTCCTGGAAGTGTCCACACCAAGCGTCCACCGTAGGGAGTCGGAATCTTGACTGGTGGTAAAAGGCTGATCTCTGACTCGTGTACGCCACTGAATGATGAGAGAAAGAGAAGTACATTTCGAATAATTACAGGGATAAACTTTTGGGAAGCACTGAGGACGTTGCGGTTCATGGAGGCATTACAGCTAATAACCAGAGCAACTGAAACCGATCGCACTGAAGAATAAAACTGTTGTGCCTTGATGTGGCGGTTAGACACTCGTCTGCGGATACAAAAGTCGGAACGGAGCCGGGATGTTTTCAAACATGACCTTAGCTCCCCGGTCGACCCAGCCCCAAAGTGGGTACCAGGTAAAGTCATAGGAAGTAAATGTGGTCGGTCTGACGCTGACCACATCACCTACCGCGTGCCCATTGACCTATTAAACATTGGTCTTTACTACGTGCCCAGCACATGTGATGGGAAATAAATGTGGTCAGCTTGATTTTGACCACTTTATCAAACGAGTGTTGATTTGTCTAAAATAGTATCAGTACCATTACATCATAATCTTCTGATGTAAAATAGGTTCCGTTTGTTTACTTGTACTAACAAGAATTATAGAAAAGAGAACAATGTAGCGCCGTATGTGTGTAAACTTCTTCTTCTCTTCCACCTTGTACCTCATCAAAGTGTTTAGACTAAGAGGTGATAATTAAATTAGTGAAATCAGTTATAACACGGAGTTGACTCGTCTTTGTCTCTAATTCTTCTACAAAAGCGTTTGTGGTATACATTTTAATAGCAGCCCCACTGACATTGACAAACTTACAAACGAAGGCTTAACATTTGACCATAGAAATGTTAAATAGACGCACTAACTACGACACTTCCAATGTTTATGAGTTAAAATGTAGTCAATATCCTATTTTCAATGGTCTGTTCTAGGAAGTAAGTAAAATATATGTGATAGCAACAACAGGCTTGGTATCATTGTACTGAAGGGTATTTTGGCACTTAGAGTGAGAGAGAGAGAGAGAGAGAGAGAGAGAGAGAGAGAGAGAGAGAGAGAGACTACAGAGACAAAGAGGTAGAGAAGAGAAATATTCCTTTCAAAGGCAAGATGTATGTACCGAATGTTTCTCTTTTTGTCTGACCTCTATGTTAAATATTAGCCATCATTGACAGTAACTTTTCATCCAAGCAAATTTGAGAGAGTTGGTAATCATCTTTTGTTTACTGAGCAAACCTTTTCATGCAGCCGGTTCTTTTTTTAACCTTATAGTTGGTGACGTTACTTTACGTCACAGTCAACAATCTTTGTCCTACATTACAGCTGTCAGTTTAAGCATTGGTGTGTTGCTATGTATCTCAGACTTTAATGTATCTCTACGTTGAACTTAAAGAAGTACACCAACCTCTTCATTACTGTTATTTGCTTCTTTGTCGTCCTTATTATCATCCTCATTCTCCTTCTCCTTCTCCTTCTTCTTCTTCTTCTTCTTCTGTTTCTTTCTTTCTTCTTCTTCTTCTTCTTTTGCTTTTCCTTCCTCTTCTTCCTCTTCTTCTTCTTCTTCTTCTTCTTCTTCTTCTTCTTCTTCTTCTTCTTCTTCTTCTTCTTCTTCTTCTTCTTCTTCTTCTTCTTCTTCTTCTTCTTCTTCTTCTTCTCCTCCTATTTCTAACACAATCAGCATCACCTTAATCACCACCACCACCACTACTACTACTACATGACTACTGCTGCTGGTGATGATGAAGATGTTATTATTACTACATATATTATTTCTCCTCCTACTTATTTTTCATTTTCTACTTGACGTTCTGCTTCCGCTTTTTCTATTTCTAGTACAATTACTTCTACCATTTTTTTACTACTACTGCTGCTGCTAATACTACTACTACTACTACTACTGCTGCTACTACTACTACTACTACTACTACTACTACTACTACTACTACTACTACTACTACTACTACTACTACTACTACTACTACTACTACTACTACTACTACTACTACTACTACTACTACTACTACTACTACTACTACTACTACTACTACTACAACTACTACTACTACTACTACTACTACCACCACTACTACTACAAGTACTGCTACAACTACTGCTACTGATGCTGCTGCTACTATAACTATCACCACCACCACTGCTATTACTACTGATAAGTCTTTTTCATTGTTCCATTCTTCGACTTCCAAAAGTTTTAATGTTAATCGCAAGAGTAAAATCTGCTTTACTTCTCTCTATCTAGATTGGGATTTTATTTTGGTCTCAGGGTGGTAGACCTTCAGGTGGCAGTCCGAAGGGGACAAACCGATCGATCCATCGATGGTTACCCCTGCTACTGCCTTGTGTACCTTGTTATTTACATTAGGTAAAGATTCTCAAATCAGCTTTTCAATTAACCACGCTTTATAAGTTCCTTCATGTTATCCAAACGTTTAGTGGTTGTTTGTAGTTTTGCTAGGCATTTGTAACCTTGCTTTCTGGACAATGCTGCGCTCGTATCGGTGTCTGGGAATTATGACTATTGTCAAATTCATAGCCACATTAGCTGACTACACAGAAATCTGAAATGCCCTTAGGTATATAGCAGTTTTAACAGCATACCCTCCCCTCCCCCCCCTCCCCCCTTTTCCACCTTTGTTCCTTTTCATCCGACCGTTTCATTATGAATGATTATTTATAACCCCTTCTATAGCTAAATCTTGGGTGTTCAGAAGTTTCACTATCAAGTATCACAACTACTGTGCAAATTACGGCTTGGCTATAATTTCAGATTCAATTTTAAACTGTCAAGCTTTGAAATGAAAGTTTTAAAATGTTTTACATCTTCTATTGGGAAGACGCTTGTGGAAATGCGAACCCACATAAAAGCAACACGACAGTGGAACGTGAAATTAGTAACCAATAAGATAAAATGAAATTAGCAAGAATGACATTAGAAGAAAACTAGCATGAAACCAGTCACATCGTTCTTAACAGAGCAACCGACGAAATGGTTTAGTCATCTGTCGAAAATACTCCGGCACAGATTATCATCTGTGAGCTACACTGAACAAATGTAATAAAAGCAAAACCAGGGGAAGACCACACGAGAGATGGAACAACGAAATCCCGATCAATATTAGAGTATATCTGTACATATCCTTGGTCCCCTAAATCTTCGCTGAGTTAACTGATGGAAGAGACGAAGAAGGTCTAAGACAACCTTTCAATCATTGAGTGACCTTACCTGCCAGCTTCATCCATCACAGCCACTAGTTGTTTTACGAACATATTTGGCATCCAGTTCCCATCTTCGTTGAAATCCATGGCATCGTCCACAAAGATGTGAGCTGCAATTAATATTTTTGTTTAATTTAATTTTTCAAAAAAGTTTAGCAAATAGTCATCTTTTCCTCCTCCATCGTACCCTCAACTTTATCTAATTTCTTCGTAATCTTTGTTTTTCTTCTTCATCCTCTTCTTTCCCGTCTTCTTCTTTTTCATCATCACCATCTCCTCCTTCTATTGTTTTTAAATTGTTTTTCTTCTTTTCCATCTTCCTATCATAGTTAATATTTTGAGATACTGAAAATGCGCTACAGGTATGCTCTCAGAAGTAGAGAGATTCTAGGTTTCGTCGGTTGTCATTCTAATGTAAACCAAGCTGTGTGGAAAATTGGAAGACATGCCTCGCACCACAGACTTCAAAGGCCTGTGGCCTCCTCATTTGACAACCACTGACAGGGAGAAGGAGCAGAAGATGAAGATGATTATCAGTTTCACTTAAATGCACTTAAACAGACTTAATGTATCAAACAACTCCTAGCCAGATTTAGTATGGATAACATCTTGGCATGGGCAAATGGTTGAGATGTACGTCTTCCTATATCCCATACAGTTTGTTTTTCATTGGAATGCCAACCGGCAGATCAATACATTGTCTGTTTCTTTATCTTAATTATAGTGTTAATACGACCTTAAGATTCCCCCTGTTTTTGTTAATAGAAGGTTGAGGTTACGGGACAAGGCTCGATGATAAGATTACCAACATGAATCTGTTAAGTGGAGTAATCAGAGAAATTGTGGACATTTAATGTCACAAACAAAAATATATTAATTAGTTAATTAAATACATAAATAATTACATGATTAAATAACGAGCATACCTTCAAACTCGTAGTAGTCGGGATCCTGCACGTTGAAATAATCCTGCGCGTTTCTTCTGGCACTTTGATCCATGTCCAACCTGGCAATACAAGCACATACCTTGAGTTGTTATATCTCGGTTTGTAGCATCCATCACAGAGATTGTACTTGTTTTTGTACTGAACAAGTTAACAGCCTCAAAATTAATGATGTAAAAAACAGGGACTGCTGTCAAGGCAATGTTAAGAAGTCACTAAAACAAAACAAAACACTGTGTCTTTCTTTTACCCGCTATAGTTTTCTACTCAGTACTTAACAGTTTATGATGTTTGAGTACACAGTGCGATTGTACTGTCGATGTTCCCACAGTGACTTGCAGTATGTCAATGGAAAATCTAGACAGCATTAGGCGGGAAATGGGGGGGGGGGGGGGTGTGTGCTATATCATTAGTCTCAGCAAACGATTAGTGACGTGGTCAATAGATCATCAGCGATCTTCACTTATAAGAATATTTGTGGAATATATTTTCTTGGTTGAGTTGATCTTGGAGACCTGTTTTGCCCTGCACGCTTGATTCTGGGGTGAGTGTTGTATTCTCACATCGGTTTTTTTGATTAAAGAAACTTGGCTCTCAAGCCAGCCTATTCTAAAAGAGTACCAGGAGATGTTATAAGTAGTAATGTCGTCCGGCGCCGGAATCAACAGATCAGCCAGCAAGCCTCTATTGGACCTTAAAACTATGAAATTACAGCAGTAAAATCAACACGAATCAAAGCGTCACAAAGAGCTCTTTATTTTACACTGCAAGACAAGAAGCCTCGGTATGGCATCACAAGCTTTGCAACTAGCGAAAGACAGGAAACTGCATTAATTCCTCTCTGTGACGCTTTACCACAAAAGCAATAGGACAAAAGCAGAAATGAGAAGAAGGTAATAGCTAGACCCCTGCCTAGGTTAGTTATCCTTTAGGTATCCTTTACAGGACGTTGCAGAACCAACCCCAACAGCCCCTGGCTGCTGTGTGGTTTTTCTAGGCAAATTTACGTCCAGTAGTTTGCCACTGCACCTGGACGGTCGGCTTTCTTGATACCACTGTCAAAACCAACGCAAGGTGCATGGCCCGCAGCTGGGATCGAACCCGGCATCCCGGCATTACGAAGCGTTCGCAACGACTTAGCCACAGAGCAGACTCCTGCCTACTGGCAGGAATATCATGCGTTCGAAATCGGATGGGTTTTTAAAAAAATGTGTTAACGAATAATTTATCTTGGCTTCCAGGCTGACTTAAAACTGATACAAGGAAATGTCCTGTGAAGTAAAATCGGCCGGTGTGCTATTGGCATCACCCAAAATGTAATTCGAATCTTCAATTAAGTTGTTAAGGCCTTGACAAATATAGCTACAAATATACCCTTTTTTTAAAATCAGTATTTTTTCATAAAATATTGTTAATCAGCATTTTGTCTCCAGACCCCCCCCCTCTCTCTCTCTCTCTCTCTCTCTCTCTCTCTCTCTCTCTATCTATCTCTCTCTCTCTCTCTCTCTCCCTATCTCTCTCTCTCTCTCTCCCCTTCCCCTCTCTACAAATATTTTTAACAATATAGCGCACTCGACTACGCATACGACACAACAACAACAACAACAATAATAACAGAAGCAGAATCTGTGTTAAATTATCATGTGTGAAAATATTAGCATAAAGCCATATGCTTCAGGGGCTCCCAGGTTCTTCCGAGCTCCCATGCGTTAAGACATCACTTCATACATCACAAACACTACTTTATCATTAACAATGAAAATTAGCAGCCAACAGGAGAAAGCCCAACCTGAACACAGACATGAGCAACTCTGTCATCTCCCTCTCCGTCTCGTGCCACATGGTGGCGCACACGTAGATCTTGGGGACAATCTGTTCTCGCTGCCGCCTCATCGTAGCGTCCGTGCTGGAGCTGTCCATGCTAACGTCGTCTGAGAAAGCCATCTCCTGTTGGGAGGACATAGTCATACACTTCAGCAAACTGCCGGTTGCTAATCTGGAAATACAACTGCTCTTTTTGTTGCTTTTTTTATAAAATTAAAATTCAAAAGATGCTATTTTGTTATTAGATAGGTTTTAGGGATTACACTAAAGGATTAGATTAAATGGGTCTATGGCTGCTTTATGGCAGTGAAACTTGGTCAACTTATTTGCATCAGAAGAGACGGCTAAATAGCTTTCACATGCGATGTCAAAGAAGAATACATATACTGGCAAGACAAGATCACAAATATTAAGGTATTCGAAAGAGCAGGTATTACAACAGTCTTCCCAATGCTCAGTCTACGAAGGTTCGGGTGGCTGGGTCACACCTTGAGAATGGAGGATGGCAGAGTCCCTAAGGTCATCCTTTATAGTCAGCTGGAGACAGGTAGAAGATGTCGAGGCCGACCTCTACTACAATATAAAGATGTGTGCAAGCGGGACATGAATGATACAGTCTGCCTTTTCTTTGTTTTCCAAAATGGAGTTCAGAACCCACACGGGGAAAATTAAGTGATTAAAGTAACCTGTTCTCAAGCTACTGGCGAAACTAAAATGTAATGACAGATTCGTATTTTAAAACAGACCAATCGGCACTCTGTCGGGGGGCACTTCAGGCCGCCTTTACTTCGCATAACATTACCGTGTACCCATTTAAGACTCCCAACATAAGCTTTGCAAAAATTATAAATAGTCTTCTAAAGACCCGCTTTGTGACTTGACTAACAGTTACTTTGCCAATAATATAACTAACCTTGAGAACGCGCTCTCTGTCATTACGTCTGCGATTCAGAAGCAGCGATTGTTCAATCACAGCTCCGCAGTACTGGGGCAACAGGAACAATCTGATTTGATATAAAATATCAACATCGTTTACTAAACAAACAAAAAAAGATAGAAAGAAGTGACAGTCAGAAAACTGTCCAAGGGATTTTACTCTTTCAGTTAGTTAGTTAGTCTTTCCTTTTGAGCCTAGTAGGGCAGCGCATAGGGCAGAGGTCATAGCTCTCTATGTCTGGCGGTTAGTTGCCACCTGTTTTAGGTCTTGGATGTTTAATAGGCACATGGCTGAGCGTTCCCTAATGAGGTTATATGCAGGGTTTCTCTCGGTCTTCCCCGTTTTCTTGTCCCTTCGGGTGTCCGTATGAGGGCTTGATTGGGGGGGGGGGGGGGTTCTGGTCACCCATTCTGAGTGCACGGCCAATGCAGTTTTAGTGGCGTTTGCTTTTAAAACTAAATTCGTTTTCTTGCTTGTTCTCTTGCCTATTTTGCGTATTGGATCTGAAATGTGCCCAGTGCAGATTTAGTATTCATCTAAAACATCTGTTTTTAAACTTGTCTAATCTGTTATCTAGAGATACCATTGCTTTCCAACTCTCACATCCATAAGTTAGCACTGAAATCACACAAAAGTTGAGGATCTTAAAGTTTGTGTTTTTGCTGAATGTCTTTGATTTCCAGATGTTTGACAGTTTGTTAAAGGCACTCTTTCAGTCCTGACAGACACTTAGGTTAAGGACCCCCTTTTTTTTTATTCCAGCGACGCATGGAGTATATCATACTAGAGTTATATCTTTTAAAGATTAAACGTCACTTGATGGCTGATGGTATCAATATCACACTGCGTCTTTCGGGCTAACACATCCGACTTTAGCACCAATAGTTGGGCCTCTTTTAGGACAGGCTGCCCCCCTCTTACCCTTTCCCATTAGGCTCCATAAATATGGGCGACGCAATATGCGGGTTCAGACCCCTTCAGGCCTACTAAATTTGTAGGGGTGGCTTAGTACTCCCACTCTCTCCAATAATTGCTTAAAAGTATTTATTCATTCATTCCATATTATTTCAAGTGTTTTTCAATATTTGTTTGCCATTTAGCACAATAATAATAATAATAAAATAACAATAAACAAATATTAACATGCCTGATCGAAAGCAAAATGGTTATGTCGATGCAGATTCGATTCGAACTCAAGACTTACTAGGCGGTAGGCAAGGCATGTAGCCACTATACTACCTCGGCTTCCACTAAAGAACATAGTGAATTAGGTTAGCTATTCAAATACATGGTTCGGTTCATAGAAGAAGAGACACAAGTAAACTATGAAGATAATGAACTGCCAGCTGCCAACTACGGCCTTTAAACACCACTTTTGCGGTGTAGGCAGGGAGATCTTTGAGACTCAGGATTTAGGGCAGCATGGCTACTACTGTCGCTACGACTGTGTAGGTGAGGATTTTATTTTTGTCCCCGACAGAAAAAATCCGAGCCTTACCGAGGTTTCGAACCCGGGTCTCCAAGAGTTTTATCCGTTCGGCCAAAATGTATTAAGGAAGTAAGGTCGTCTAGAAGAAACTCTGAAACGAACAAGAATGAAAGAGGACAGTTGACTGGATTCCATCCATAACATCGAAGGGACTGTACAGGATAGAACGGGACTGGGGAATAGACTACGAGCCCTATGTGACATGTGATGGCAGTACAGGGCTATGATGCTGATGGTTAACGCCATGAATGTTCTCAGAGCAAGGGCGCTGCGTGGTCTCGAGGCATGGTGTCCGCCTCGAGTGCTAGAGGTTCCGGGTTCTATCCCCGATAAAAGCTGCCATTTTGTTTACGTGGACTTGGATTTCTAGTAATTCCCCCTGGTCTCTTGGTAGTGATCGGACGCCCGTGTGCATTGTTGCGTACGTAAAAAATTTCATTGGCAGTTGGAAATCGAAAAGAGTAGCCTAACGGCGCTGCCCTGGCACAATTTGGAGTTGGAAATCTACCCAAAATATTTTAGGATCCTCGCCGGTGCTACAGAGCCTGTGCACTGTACTGAGTTTCTTCAAACTCCGACTTGAGTTAGAAGAAGAACGGAGCACTTATGGGTTACTACCCGTGTGCTATGATGTTGGTCCGTTGTTCAAACTTTAAACTTGTTCTCAGAGCAAAAGGAAGATCACAGTCCATTTAAGAATTAGCTATTAATTATATCTGCATTGCCAGTAGAAGGCATATACATATTCCTTCGAAGTCGGAGTACAGCTGCCCAGGAGGCAGGGAAATTAAAAACGGTTGTACACGCAAAAATCAGGTCCAGGTGAAAGCCAAAAGTCCAAGCGGACGATTATCCTGGACCTTCCACTGGAATTCACAGCCGGTGATCGATAAAAAAAAAAAAAAAATTTCATTTTTAGACTGCCTAAAGCTCAATGTCCAAACTTACCGTTCTGTAAAGGCCAAGCGAGGTGCTTTCGGTGTCCAGATATAGCGGGTTATCCATAGCTGTGATGCCCACCATAGACCAAAACCAAGACCTAAATGCCAAATAAGCCAACGTTTGGCGTCCCCTCCTTCCGTGCAAGTCCACATTAAAAACCCTGGCATTAGTACCAACTTGCTTTTGTCTACATAGCACACCTAGGAGAAATAACAGGTGTGTGAAAATTTCCTAACATCACAGTTTACACATAGTTAACAATGTATCAGTCGCCTGCGCCAATGTCTGCGCTTAGGCGTTACGAAAGCACTTTGTAATTCCGGAATACTCGGTTCGATTTAGCTGCAAGCGATTTGACAGCAGACCGCTGTGTAATAATTTTGGCATCGGGATGGAACGCCGACTGTTCAGTAAAGTATTGACAAACTACTGAGCGTAATATTTGCTTACCCACAAAGAGCTAAAAACAGATATGCCGAGACATGTTCTACATATAACCGTTTGTCAAGATAAGCAACTTTATAAAAATTGCTTGCTTGCATTACAATAGTCTCAATTACAAAATTTATGACATAGTCACAATTTTTATCACTTCCATTATGTTTGTCATCAAAATGATCACCATAATAAGCCACTTGTTTGTGTGTGTGTGTGTGTGTGTGTGTGTGTGTGTGTGTGTGTGTAATTGATAGATAATAAACAAAAAGTTTAAATAGTAGCTGATATAACACAGAGGATAGAATCTTGCCTATAGGCCTGAAAGTCGTGGGTTCAGACACTCACTGGGTCAGCTGTTTGATAGCTGACAATGGCGGGCTGAAGTCAACTCGCTTTAAAATCAGTACAGGGAAATAAAATAGGTTGGTGAGTGTTTTCCATATCATCCATAAAGTGACGATTAGTGTACACAATTATTGGTTAACGCCATATGTTTAAAGCGAAATATCGTTAACCCCTTTTGACTAGCCTGTTAATTTTGACGTTAAACACCCGTTATCAGATTATTTAGTATATTCTGGGGTATAATTTATGAGCACTTCGATAATCGACATCCTAAACAAGAATAAGCTCAGGGTCACATCTGTAGTCTTAATTCCCGAAACATTTCCGGTATCCAGTTTTATGAGGCTGGGTCGACTCTAAAAGATAAACGTATCAACATAACAATTGTGTGACACTTTAAGCGTGTTTGCAGCAATGTCTACCACGTCATTACGTGAGGTCACTGGTCTGTAGTATGTCCTCACTAAAACATTTGCCATGAAAAACAGAAGTAAGTCGTGAAAATATTCTAAAACATAGTTGACACAGGGGGCGTGATCGAAAGTAGTAAAGTGATATATAGCACAATTATCATATTTATTACAATAGTATGTATGTATTTAAGGTGACTAATCGAGTTAACGGCTAGTGACAATACTAGTCAGTGTTGCATTATTGCATAACATTTAATAAACAAACAAATATAAATATTGAATAGCATTTACAAGAAACAGTCGTTAAAGCATGTTATTTATGCTCAAGAAATAAGAAAAAAAATGAAGCAGTAGTGGTGGTGGGAGTCGCCGTGGCCGAGCGGCTAGACGCTCGCCGCGGATCGGAAGGTGGTGGGTTCACTCCCTGGCGGAGCCGGACTTTTGAAAAAAAATGACTTTGGCTCCCAGGTCGACCCAGCCTTGAATGGGTACCGGTTGCAGTCCCGGGAAGAAGAAGCAGCCGGCGTGATACTGACCACATCACCTATCTTGTGCCGATTGGTCTATAAAAATATAGGTCCAGCCCTATATGCCCTATACGCCTTAAGGCGTGAGAAAAGGGTCCTTCACTTTACTTTTTTTTTTACTTAGTAGTAATGGTAGCAAAATCGAAACAACAAGAGGCAGGGGAAGACCAAGAAGAATATGGATTGAAGGAGTCACGGACAACTTGAGACTTCATAACATCACGGCATATGAAGCGACTGAGCGCGCCCTGGCTCGGTTGCCGATCATCTGATAGACTGCGACGCATAGCGGCACAAGCAGATTTTGACAAAAGAAAGAAGAAGTAATGGTAGCAGTAGTAGCAATTGTATACGAAGTAGTATTAGTAGTAGTAGTAGTAGTAGTAGTAGTAGTAGTTGTAGTAGTAGTAGTAGTAGTAGTAGTAGTAGTAGTAGTAGTAGTAGTAGCAGCAGCAGCAGCAGTAGTAGTAGTAGTAGTAGCAGCAGTAGTAGTAGTAGTAGTAGCGCTGCTGTTGTTTTTGTGGTAGAAGGAGAAGAAACAGGTAAAAAAAAGTATTAAAGTGGCAGTGATAATGCCAGCGAACGAGAAAGAAGAAAAAGATAACAAGAACGCTTACTAAGTAACATAAAATAAATGTAACATACCGTAATGATGATAGCCACGGACACCGGAGTAGTCAGACTCAACGGAATAGAAAAGGACACCCTCTGCATGCACAATTTGCAGCCCAGTCTGGCAAAATAGTAACACAAACCCGTGCTGGCGATCTGCACTAGCAATGGGAGGTAAGTCTGCCACTGCCGCCATCGGTAGACATAAGTTGTGGTACATACTGTAGCGTTGTCTCCCCCTGAGGTTATGTTAGTGAGCGAGCAGTTGTGAGCGTCTATACTCATGAAGGGAGAGTCTAAAAGTTTACTATCTAAATTTTGTTGTTGTGAAAGGTCCTTTAAAATGTCAATAGGGCTTTCTGTGATTATTTCCACTGCCTGTTGGGAAAAGTAAAAAAAAAACGTATTTTATAATATTATTATAATTATTAGAATATTATATATAAGAATTATAATATGCTAGACACTGCAGACCCAACTCTAGTATTTTGTTGGCGGTTCGTCATTTTACTAGGCATAGGAGATGATAGCGAGAAAACTGATAAAATGTTTCTAAACGAAATTTAGCACATCACTTCAACGTGTGGGTTCCTGAAAACCCATTTTGGTGGACCTGATTTAGAGTCACTATTTTAGGGGCGCTGACGCAGAAACAAAACATTGCATCGATGTGTGTGTGTGGGGGGGGGGGGGGGGGGGGGGGGGCAGGGGCAATGAAACCTCATTAAAAATTTCCCCATGAAAAGGGGTGGCTTACGGGGATTAAAGCTTATTCCAATCCCTAAACAAAGTAGGTCCCGTTAAAAAGCACTAACGTGCGGAAATGTATAACACGTGATATCAATGGCATCCTTTAGCCAAGGTGACAAGTTCAGAAACTACCAATCAGAAGTGACCTAGTGTGTATATGGGCGGGGCGTTGGGAGATTAATGTTACGTGTACCCAATGGTATTACTACTGGGCTGAACGGCAAATAAATATAATAATAATGTATCTTAAAAATAAAACATATCAACACACATTTAAGAACTACAATGCATGATTATAAGGCTGTTTAGTTTCCTTAAACATTTCTAGGCTGCCCTCAGTGAGCCCGCTTCCTTTTTTTTTTTTTTTTTTTTTGGTAAGGGGGATGGGGGTGGAGGTAATAATCAAAAATGGGAGGGGGCCGGGAAATCATTTATCTTATTCGAGAATATTAAGCATTTAACTTATTTTCTTTCAAGCAGCGCCTTAACTGTGGTCAGTTCTTGTCTGTATATAAAAAGCAACATATTTTATGTTGTTATGCATGCTGTGTCTGTCTATCTGTCCGTCTGTCTGTGTGTCTGTCTGCTTCTGTCTGTATTGTCGACACTTTAGTAATAGCTCTTAATAACAACCACCTGCAGCTGAGAGATGTCCAGGGCAGGCAGCACTCCAGGCATGGTCCCATTATAAACAGTCTTTTCCGTATAAATGAGATCCGCGAAGGCTTTGTCAACCATTTGAAGGTTGGGCACCAGAAGGAAGGCAAACCCAAAAGTGACACCAATCTTCCACAGGCTGGCCAGAATATAACACTTGACACGGCAGCGGTGTAAGGAATCTTTGTATAGCTTGATAGGGACATACAGACAGCCGATTCGTAGGTCCTGCAAGTGTATTATTGATTGATTGTCATGAAATCAAACACACAAATACATACAAACATTTACACACCAGCAGGCGCGCTCACACACTTGCAATACACGCACAGACACATAGACACACACAAATGCGCACACAACCCCCCCCCCCCCCCCCACACACACACACACACACACACACACACAAACTTTGAATTTCGTCTCTTCATAATGTATTATTACATATTGTGCGGCGTCCGTGGCTTAGGCGTTGCGAGTCCGACTCGTAATCCAGCGTACCGCGATCGAAACCCACTGCTGGCTGCGTGGATTTTTATCATGGTATGGGGAGTCGCAGGTCGACCCAGCCTAAAATGGGTACAAGGATGGGCTGTCCTGGAAAAGTAAAGACAGCCGGCGTAATGCTGACCACATTACCCACCGAGTGCTGATGGTCTGTAAAAATATGGGCGCTCTTCCCATATGCCCGATACGACTAGAGGCGTGGAAAGGGATCTTTACTTTTTTTTTTTACTTATTTACATATTGTTCATGCACTCAAAACAAGTCTTTTAGCACTTAAGGGGATAGTCCCTGATACGATCCTGATATTAGTTCTCCGGACCCGTCGTCGCTCCTGGATACTGCCACCAATTCCAATTTCTCTACGTAAAATAGATTTTCTGGATCTTTTACCTAAACATGTCACGATTACCCATGTCTTCTCTGAGCTAATAAGAGAAGAAATAAGTGATAATACTGTATCCTACCAAGCATACCAGAAAAGATAACTAAGGAGAGTTGATATGAGTTTCGCTGCCTCCCCCAAAAGCATGACGTAAGAGTCGATTAATTGGGGAGCTTCCTTTGAAGTCGGAGTGCATTTGCCGGAGAGGCAAGGAACCAACAGTCTGTATTCAAGAGAATGAGATCTCTAAAACTGATGCACACGCAACACTCAGGTTCTGGAGCAGGACTACAGTTCAGTAGTGGACGACCAACCAGAACCTTCCGCTAGAGTTTACAGCTGGTGAACGCGAAGAAGAAGAAGAAGAAGAAGAAGAAGAAGAAGAAGAAGAAGAAGAAGAAGAAGAAGAAGAAGAAGAAGAAGAAGAAGAAGAAGAAGAAGAAGAAGAAGAAGAAGAAGAAGAAGAAGAAGAAGAAGAAGAAGTTTCGCTGCTTTTTACCGTAGATAACGTTAGCTACTGTCTGCTCCCAGGTCAACTAAGCCTTTAGACAGTATGATAACCTATGATAACCTAGAGAAAATGGAAATGGCTTGGCCACGTTATTCGAATGAATCCAGATATACCTGCCAAAATAGCTCTCAAATGGACACCAGAGGGAAAGAGAAAACAGGGGCGCCCAAAAAACAACATGGAGACGAACGATGGAAAGAGACATGAGTGCGGCATCTTTGACATGGAAAACTGCACTGAAGATTGCACAGGACAGGAAAGCATGAAAAGTCCTCTCTGAAGCCTCATGTGCCACTAGGCATAACGAGAACGGATGAACTTTAGCTAGAAAAACAAATCACACCGATCATAGGCTGATCTGCTTCTTGTTTTGTCAAACTGTTTATGTCGCATACTGTCGCAGGGAAGAGTTAAATATGGTTTCCTGTCTTTTGCTAGTTGTGTAGCTTGTGTTAATGTCATACTGCTTTTCTGTAGTGTCTTTTACATCCCCCCCCCCCCCTCTTCAACACCATTTCTTTCTTGGTTGACCTCTTGCCTGGTAGCTTATTATTCTCACTACACGTAGTACGCTCCAGCTGCTGACTGGTATTCTTTTAGTATGACCACATGACCAAACCATTCGATTCTTTGATATTCTATGAAGACATTTACTGGTACAGTGCCTATGGTTGTTTTAAATTCATCACTGGTCAGTTTGTATCTCCTTGTTTTTCTCGCTTTATTTCTTGTACATCGCATCCCACATGTTGTAATTGTGCGTTTATGTTTATCTAGGACTGTCCGTATCTGTCACTGATAGCACACAGCTGGCACTATTTGGGCATTTATCATATGATATTTGTGCGTGCATGCTAATATTGTGTTGCCTCAGATCAGCAAGGGCTTAACATACGTTGGTTAAAGACCTCACCTGTGCTCGACTGAGAGATGAAAGGGAAACGATGAAACAAGAAGATTACTTACTTTATCACAGAAGTTCTCCCACCACTTAACGGAAATGAGCAGTAGTGAGAGAGGGATCTCCCAGGACATGTCTGACAGAGAGTATGCAGTGTGCCAGGCGGAGACGTTCTCCAGGACCTTTGTCTGCACATCTGAAACATTCACACAAATTGCATTGTCACTGTTATATTTTTATACACCATTATTCTTTCCAGTGCTATTCTGTCAGTGTCAAACATGAACGCTGTATTCAGAATACAGAAGAAAAATATGCATGACAGAAATAAAAAGCTACACTTAATACCGGAAAGATCGACATTGGAATATTTAAAAAGGAGGAGATAATTTTATCTGTAGACAAAAGGAGATTGACAACAGACAGGACAGCACAAAGAGCAATCTTTTTTACATACATCGTTAACAGAACCAGAGGTCGACATTGCAGAACATGGAACGCAGAAATATCAGAAGACACTGAAAAAGTACTGTACGTGAAGCAACAAGAAGGGCTCACTCCAGAAATCTTTTCCTGCTTGACGATGCCATGCATTCCAGGAGTAATAGAAAAAGACGAAGAAAAAGCTAGAACTAAAAATGGTCGTAGAAATGCTGTGATTTTTGTCGATAAAGGCTCCGGTAGACAACAACAACAACAACAACAAAATCATTTTATATGTGTGTGTGTGTGTGAACATTGTCCCCTTTCTCCCCTTCTTAAAATTCCAAGTCCAAGTTCAGCTAAATAATTTCCTAGATATGGTAGTTACTTTTAAAGATGTATTGACCAGAATGGCACACATTTCACTATACCTAACTGCCGCTGTTGCTTCTTCTTACCTGCCCCCTCCCCAACGACCCAACACTGATAAATTGTAAATACATGATGTATTTTTCTAGAGATGGATTTTTATAACTGACCAAGGCCTTCAAGGCACACCCAGTATAAAATGAGTGACCACACTGTCCATCTAATGCCGACTGGTCTATCAAAAAAATGAGTCTGCCACCATATTCGTGATGTATCAAAAGTGTGAATGTTGTCACCTCTCTGTCTTGCTAGAAGATACTGTTAGACTGTGCTCTGTGTAGATATAGGAAGTCGCCGTGGTGTAGCGGCTAGACGCTAGGCTGTGAATAGGAAAGTCGTGGGTTCTGGTCCTTACGGAGCCGAACATTTTTCAAAAATCACCTTAGCTCCCAGGTCGACTAAGCCTCAAGTGGGTACCAGGTACAGTGCTGGGAAGTAAAGGTTGATCACATTACCCACCACGTGCCATTGGTTCTATCAAATATAGGTCTAGCCTTCTATGCTCAAAATGCCTTAAGGCGTGGAAAAGGGTCCTTTACTTTTTACTCATGGGGAGACAAAGGAATCACAGTGCCTTACGATGGCGAGTGTGACCTAACAAGATCACCCTCGCCTTAAGAGAAGTCTTCCACAATCAAAGCATGGGATTTCGAGACCCTTCTTGCCATGACGTGCATTTGGTATGCTTCTTCTCACACGCCCCGTTCTTTGCCTTTCGGCAATCAATTTTTTAAAAATTCCTTTTCCCTTCCTGATTTTGTTCCCTCCAATCAACCTGGTCCATGGCCATTTTTTCCCCAATGAATCTGCCTTAAAAGCTGCATAATTCATGTGACGCTTTCACCCGTCGTTATATCGTACTAGAGGGCGACCTCGACATCTTCTACCTATCCGTAACTCATCATAGGTGAAGTCCTTAGAGATTCTATCATCCTCCATTCTCCAAGTTCGACCCACCTACCGAGCTTTCAGAGACAGAGAAAACTGTGTATAAGGTTCTATTTTTTTACACAACCGGCGATAAGCATTTTCTAGTTTACCATGGGAAGTTTGCTAACATGGCAAAACAAATTTAAATTAAATTTAAAACATTTACCGGCAATTGTTGTGTGCATGTGTGATTTGTACAACAAGCAGACTAGATGGCAATGCCTAATAATAGTAAAAGTAAGCTTCTGCTGAGCAATATGATACAGCTCATTTGACACATCACACATCAAGTAAACAGGGAAATCCCATAACAACATAACTTGTCTTGTCCTTTTCGCTGATAAAGACTTTGGTCGAACATATTCGGTTGTATTTGTGTGTCTTGTTTACATTCCCTCCGTTAAGCTTTCTAGTTACATGTTTGATGTATTTAGTATGTAGTATCGAAAGAGTGTTAGTGGTATCTTACCTTTTACAGGACTTGTCGATTTGACGCATTCAGATTTCATAGATGCCAGGACTATCACAAAAGCCGACATTTGCATGAGCAGGGCCAGAATGTCTAGTAAGATGGTGATTATATTCCTTTTCTGATCCTCTGACCTCTTTGTCGCAAACAGCCTGTACGTATAAATAGTATACGCATAGAAAGAATGATGTGATTAATTTGTGTATGTTTATTCGTGTATAAAATAAGTTGCTGAGTTACTGAAGCAAACAAAATATAAATTTACACTTTATAAAGCATATATGTACATATTAATTGCAGCAATATGGGTGAAGGAATAAATTGTAGAAAAATTACACACACACATACCATTTTTCTACAGTATATGTAAAATTATATTATACATAATCGGCGTGTGTGGTTTGGGTGTTGCGAAAGTGCATCTTGATGCCGGGGTGCCCGGTTCGATCCCAGCTGTGGACGATTTGACTTGAGTTGGTTTCGACATTGCTACCGAGAGCTGACCTTTCAGTAAACAATGGCAAACTACTGGACATTGAATTTGTCTAAGAAATACCACAACAGCCCAAACAAATGCAACGGTTGGTTTTGCAACGTCCTGTAAAGGATATGCAACTTATATATATATATATATATATATATATATATATATATATATATATATATATGCTGGAAAAATCCAGTAGTCATAGAAATGTGGTTTCCACGAACAATACCAACAATAACAAACTAATCAAAGCAACAGCAACAAAAACAATAGCAAAAGACATGGATGGAAAGAGAAACGAAGGAGGCAGTCTTCTTAGAAACAAATGGAATATCTAAACTGATGAGAGAAATTAGACTATCAAGATATTTGGAGACGTAAAAAGAAATTAACCTGAAATCCTAATGTTAATTGACAAACCAGATGGTAAATGGCAAGGCGACGTAAAGGAGATGAATACCTTAATGACTTGACTGATAGCGGAATAGGCAAAAGTGTTTGGCCCAGACTTGTGACCGTGTCGAAATGGCCAGTTATGACACATATACAACATATGCTTTTTTTTTACCTGAGGATGGCTGGAACGGTGCACAGTGCATTCATCAGCAAGAGGCATCTAACTGTATCCAAACACGGAAGGACACGAAACAAGAACAAGCACAGCCCAAATGTGTGTATTGTTTCTATAAATAGTACCTGTAAACAGACACAATAATCCGTTTCATTGTATGAGTTTAATGAGTATTATCATACACTGCGTTTTCATCTGGTGTACTGCCAAGTGAGCACATGTATTCTTCCTCTTGTTCTACCATACCACACCAGCTTTGGGTTTCTGTGATGCCACCATCATATGCAAACGTCGGCCGCCTTTACTTTTAAGGACTGCACCTGGTATTCACACAAGGCTGGGTCGACCTGGGAGCCACGGTCACCTTTTTTTAAAGTCCGACCATTTTCATATCAAAGCTGGCACGAATTCGAGGGCTCGCGACCATGCTAAAACTGCCGTGTTGCTAGTCAGCAAAGGTAAAACTATACAATACTTTTTGATGCTGCTGTTTTAACACTATTAGACCGTTTTTTTTTTTAATTATTATTGAGTATTTCACTGATTCAGGTTAAATTTAAGCAGGATCATGTGATAGATGATGTGATAGATCATGTGATACGTGGAATAAGTTGGCGTCAAAAGAATCATGTCTATACATGGACTTTTCAAGATCTTTGCAGACGCGTTTTATGTGGTCATTTTCTTTTACTTCTTCATCTGTGTTCACCTGCTGTAAGCTCCAGAGGAAAGTCATTTTTGTTGGATTTTGGCTTTGTATCAGGGTCTGAGTGTTGCATGACCATCAGTTTTACTGGTTTCATTGTGTACAGCTGGTTGATCCTTGCCGCTGGGGCAGATGCATTTCTACTTAGGAGGAAGTCCCCATTAGTAGACTCCTACGAAGTAGTTATTTACTGTGAAAACAAAAACGAAAATATGAAAATGTAGAGGCAGGCAGGCAGACCGACAGCTGAAACAAACTTAAAACATACCCATAATAAATTCCATATAGAAGGTCCTGGAAGGTTTCCAAAAATAGCTTTTCCGAAAGATTCCACAAATATAACAAGATATGGAAAACACACAGCACCAATTAGGAGATAAACCCATCTGTCCCGATTCTCGATGCCCTGAAAATGTATGAAACACAAACTTATTGAGATGTGAGACATGTGTCATATTTCGTCAAATAAAATCTATTACACTAAATGGTATATCTATGTCTTTCGTGCATAACACATCGGATTTTATTAAATCCCGAATAAGTCTCCCTTCACCACGTGCGTGTAATGAGCAGACTAGCTCTATCATTCCCCCCTTTCCGGGCCCCACCCCCTCTCCTCCTCCCAACCGGACCCTCCCAAATGAGAACACGGCCCCAAACAGGAAACTATGGTTATTGAGAGGGAAAACAATAAAGACTGTTTTTAATTCAGAAACAAACATAAGAACACTGGGTAAAAGCACTCACAAGATCAGCATTGCCAACAGCCTGTGTTATCAGCAGCAAACTGGCTTTGCTAACCACAGCACTGGACAATACGGCAATGAAGATGATCACATAAGCAATGACTTTGACAGTTTTGGCAGCAACCTCAAACCAGTTTGTAGTTGTTTCGTAGAATGTCTCCCCTCTTCTGGATACGGTTCGGAACACATCCCAGGCCACGGCGCTGCAAGAAATATACTTTTATATCTCCATGTGTAAATGAATTATTTCTGACGTGTGTGTATATGTATATATATATATATATATATATATATATATATATATATATATATATATATATATATATATATATATATATATATATATATATATATATATATATATATATATATATATATATATATATATATATATATATATATATATATATATATATAAAACTCGTCTAATGTATTTGGTGTTAAATAAATAGACTATATGTACTTTTTTTAGTTGAAATATAATCTCTGGGATCAAGTGGAGGATCGGAGTGAGCAGATGGTGTGGACGATTGTCAACAAATTGGAAAGAGTAGTAGCAAAGGGACTTGCTTTAGCAATGCAAAGATTAAACAGTATGAAGAACCACGACCGGCTCCAGCTGACGGGCCGTGCTGCTGACGTCACCGGGTCGGGCTAACGATGCGTTAAATCAGCGGTTCTCAAACTGGGTGCCGAGGCACCGCGGGGTGCCGTGAGCGTAAGCCAGGGGTGCCGCAGCAATAATCAAGAAAAGTCGGCTAAAAATTGTAAAATTATTAAAGAAGACATGTAGATACTTAAAAGGTAAAATCTAGGTTGTCTTCCCTCGCCACTGTCAAAAATAGTTTATTTCTTGTTTTAGGACCACTGCGTTAACGCATCGTTAGCCTGACCCGGTGACGTCAGCAGCACGGCCCATCAGCTACAGCTGGTCGTGGAAGAACCTATGGCAAAGCACATGTAATTTAGTTAAGGTTAAAATCTTGAAATTATGCATTTTTCATGTGGCAATTTACGGTTGTGAATCCAAAACTCGCTCTAAATTAGTGGCGGAAAAAGAACACACAGAGATTATGGCTTTTGAATTAAAATGTTACAGAAAAATTATCAGAATACTATGGATCTAGAAGAGGGAAAACATCGACATTCTGTGTGAGTTAAACATCAAAGAGAACTGGCTCATAAACAGCGTCCTGTCCTGACGGTGAGGGGGAGTGCGGTTTGTGGAAAGCAGGACAGGGGTCGACCTCCGCGAACATGGATAGAGGATATTGAAAATGCATTGGCATTGAAAGCACATGGGGCTGGAGAGCTGGCTAGGTAAAGGGAGACTTTCATGCGTGGCGCGAGGAGAGTCGTTGTGTAAAGGACTTGCTGACTGATGATGATGAGTAGCAGAGGTACTGTTCCAGGAAAAAGAGCAGGGGCCGACCAGAATAAAGATGAGAATTGAATTAGCTGTGTCAGAATTATGAAACTGTGTCTATAACTCCTAAGCTACAAACACCGAGGAAGTAACAAAACACACGAAACATTGACTATAAAGACTGACATGTGGGGGGGGGGGGGGGGGGGGGGGTGGGTTGATACTTAAATGCCTTTCTAGTCATTGTTTGTGCTGAGTTCAGTTCAATCCCATGTGTGTTAACAAAGACATTTACAGTATTAACTTTTCCCAGAAACATGCAAACAGAAGCAGCCTTTGCCAGGTCTAGGCATAATTGACTTGGTCTGCGACCAAGGTCATGCTGTAGCCAATTTTGGAACACGCTAACAGTGCGGAAGACATTCCGTTCATTGTCAATAAGAGCCTCTCCTTTTGTACACGGTCATCGGTAGTGCTTGCCCATGTCTTAACGGCCGTTTAAGGAATTGGACAACAAAACGTAACAAAAATAGACTTCTTTCCTCGCTACTGGCACTCGAGTGTTAAGCGCGGCTTTAGTGGATAATCTTGTTTTTCAGATTCTACTGGGCCTGATCAACAAAAGTCCCACTGTTTTATTTCCTGTCGGTTAGGTTTTCTCCAGATTAGACATCAAGTATAAGCGATTTGGCAGCAGACCGAGTGTGTTGATTTCGACAATGATATGAGCGTGAACAGTTGAGAGAGCGATGGCAAATGCTAAAAGTAAAACTGCATTTAGAAGAAAAAAATTTTGCAGCTAATAAATGCCTGTGTTAGCTTGCCAAGTCCTGCACAGGACACGAAACTAACCTTATGTCCTGTCGGTTCATTCAGTCCTAAAAGAAGCATGTACCTGTTATAAAACATCATCTATTATCGTGTCAGTTCATAAAATTCTTCTTCTTCTTTATTTTCTGCTAGCCATTTTTTTGCAAAATGATAAAGTTACAAGCCTTTATAAAGGCGGGGGTGCGACAAATGACCACCACTAATCCATACGCCTTGATTTCTACCCAAATGCTAACAGGCCAGATATGGAATCTCTTTACTGCACGTATAAAGAATATCTGCAGAACATATTTAGTATTTTGTGGTGCCTGTCGACGCAGACAAAGTACTCAGCCCAAGTCATGAGCTTCTTTACATATGGCTACCGAGTCTATTGTCTGCAGTCAACAATCTAAATGCAGTGGCCTGTTATTTGAGTGTGGGGATGTAGAGTCTTCGGGATTATATTCTCGACAATTTTATTCTTTGGAAATTAATGTATTGTTGTCTTTGCCTTCCACAGATCGTGCTAGATACCTGCTGTGATCTCAGTTCAAGTACTGTGGAAATCATTATTACAATAGACCCTTCGGTGGTTGGCTATTTCCAACACAAATGAAGCTAATGGAGACACATTTTTTGACACTGTTGTATCTTCTAGTCTAGACTTCTGCAGGAGTCGCCTAAAGACATCATTTTTAATCCCCTGCTATCAAGATTCTTTACACACATACACACACACACACACACACACACACACGGTATTTCATTCCTTCACCAAAACCTAGCCATAAAACGTTGCTGTCTATTTGTAACTCTCATGACACTGTTGGAAATTTTTAATATAATCTGTCAGCAAAGATCACATTTCATATACATTTTTATCATTCTTCATAACAATACTCAAACAAAGATAACTGAAACAATGCGAACATTTTAAACACATTGTTACTGAAGATGGAAGTTCAAAGCCTTACTTGGTATCGATCATGTTTGAATGTCCAGACAGATTGGTTGTGTTTGTTGTTGCGGTACTTTCAGATGCTGTTGTGTTTGACTTTTGGGAGTTACGTCGATGTGTTCTCTTTTTGCGCTTTCTCTGCTGGTGTCGTGTTTCGTCCTCACTGTTGCCAATCACTGAGCGCATGACTTCTTCCTCTCTGTTTTGGGGAATGAAGCAGGAAGTCAGTGGCAAAATATTTTTAGGTGCTTTATTAATATTCTACCCCAAACAGGGGAAATCCACAGGTCACAGGACAGTCTAAAATTGCAGGGGGTGGTAGATAGGCTGCATGCAGTCGTGGGACCTAGGCTGCACTCTCTCGTGGGACACAGTGGGGTGGGGTTAGGGCGAGTTTTAGATGTTTTAAGGTCGTTAAAAACATCAGCAAGCCGGGAAACCCAGTCTTACCACCCTCTAAAATGTTGGACTGTCCTGTGACGTCATCTGGGGTACGATATTAATAAAGCACCTTACTTTTTAAACTGAACCTGTTTATAGTTGATCTCATCGAAGTACACATGTTCCTGCAGCTAGACGTTACTGTTCTTTGCGGGTGACAGGTTTGCAGGTGACAGGCTCGGTTCCCTGTATGGTAACTGTAACTTATAATTTGTAACGTTTTGTCCTGTTATCTACATTTATTTTACTCTGCATTGACGACTGCCATTGAATACATGTCAGTTTGTTTATTACATACATTTTTACAACCCTGGAGTCCTTCCTTTCGTAGCGCTCAATGGCTGCAAGCTCCGGCAGAAAGTTCTGGTTGTTTGTCCACTTCTGGGCTCTAATCTCTTTCCAGATCATGAGTTTTAAGTGTACATGCTTTTTTGTCAATCTGGCCTATTTATACACAGACTGTTGGTTCGTGGCCTTTGAGGCAGATACATAGACTTCAAAGGAAACACTTCAAATAGTTGCCTTTTACAATATGCTTGTTTAGTGGGGGGAGGGGGGCTATTTGTTCTTTTATCTCTAAATTGGACCCAGAACCCACCCTGCGAAGCTTTGGAGCCAACCCAGGCTCAAAAAATTGAGCTGGAGACATGTTTCTTGAAACTGCGTGGGACGAAAATCCGAAGAAAAAAAGGAGCTGGGCATTCAACGTCAGATGTTTCATGGAATATATGGAAGACCTAATACAGTGGTTATCAAATGTTTAGACGAGACTATCTAGTAAATAAAATAAATGGCTCTGTGTTTACGGAGTTTTTCATTACTTGCTATTTTGTGGCACAATAAATACACTAATTGCGCCATCCTTGCATATTAAACTGTACAAATATAGGCTGTTTGTGTTCTTAATGCAATGTGGTTGTTTCAACGGTATTATTTCGGGATTTTAGAGAGCGAATTATGTTCGGGTACATTAAAAGAAGGTCGGCTCTGTGGCTAAATCGATGCGAACGCTTCGTAATGCCGGGATACCGGGTTCGATCCCGGATGCGGGCCAAGCGCCTTGCGTTGGTTTCGACAGTGGTATCAGTCCTGTAAAGGATACGCAACTAATCTAACATTAGGAGGGGAAAGTCAAAATGCTAGTTATGTCCCTGAATTAGTTTCAAACTAACATCAATCAGGGAAAAATTGTAGGCTCATATGAATAAATGAGATTGCTGAAAAACAAGCATCCAATGCCAAAACGCTTATCGAAGATATTGAGAACGTGTATAGCCTTTACATCTGAAGAGATGTTTTACAGGAACTATAATTCAGCATACATTGACTCATTCGAGCAGGCATCCAGGCAAAAGGTGGACTCAACAAGTACTAAATAAGGAAAATATATTATGTGAGGCATAGGATATTAAGCAAAGCCATAGTATTCAAAGGTAAGTAATACATTGTTATATTAATGTCAATGTGTCGTTTACGTCATTACACTTTTAGACACCAGTGTACTTCACACGCTGGCAGCAAAATCTGCTGTGAGAATCATTTACATTTAAATCTAATCTAGTCTCTGCCAGAGGTCTTACTTGAGATGT